AGTGGAGGTGGTCATGAAGGAGGTGCAGAAGTACTCTGTAGACCGTATCCGTCTCTTGAAGCTACAGAAGAACCACGGCAAAGGTGGAGCCATCCGCAAGGGTGTCATGCGCGCTCGTGGTCAGCGTGTGTTATTTGCAGATGCAGACAATGCTACGGAAATCAGAGACTTTGACAAGCTGGCCAAGGCCTTGGACGAAGCTGCGAACTCAAATGGTGTCGTGGTGTGTGGCAGTCGCGCTCATCTTGAAGAACAGACTATCGCTAAGCGAAACCCGCTCCGGAATTTATTGATGCACGGCTTTCACTTGATAGTGTCGACGCTGTGCATTAAAAACGTGCGGGACACCCAGTGTGGCTTCAAGCTCTTTGATCGCACAGCGGCCCGTGTGCTGTTTGCCCCAATGCATATCGAACGATGGGCGTTTGACGTCGAGCTGCTGTACCTCGCAGCCAGCAGCAAGATGGCAATCAAGGTGCGTACAGTGATTTTACGCTGAGGTATTGATGAGACTCTCACACTGTCATACATTTGCAGGAAGTTGCTGTGCAGTGGACGGAGGTGCCAGGTTCCAAGCTTAGTGTCATCTCGGCGACGATCACGATGTTGCGAGAGATCATTCTCATCCGTTTGTGCTATACTGTCGGCATCTGGAAGATCAACGACGGTGGCTTTCGTCTAGCCAAAAGACCGTGATTAGCAAAACCTCGCTCGGTCCGTGTACTTACTGGGAGCCAACAGGGAATCTAGGGCTCACAAAACTAAAATCCATGCCTATCTGTTCACTCTGGAGTCTTTAAGCATGAGCTAATCATCGGGTCTACATCAAACGCACATGCCTCATTATTTAGAAACGGTCAACGGGGTCTTTCGGTGGTGCCATGGGGTTTGCTTTGGAGTCTACGTAAAACACAAACAATTAGCGCACTGTAACTATGCGTTGGGTAGTCGCTACTCAGTCAACGTACTCTTGCGCTTACAGTGCCCAGATACCCTCTCTTTCTGCGAAGCTGAACATGTTCGTTTGAAGCAGAATCATCTCGGTTCTTGCTATGCTTCGCTTCTTTCCAATAAGCAGCATCACTTGAGCTGTTGGACAGCACAAAGCTCAAGTTCTTTCGGTCCATCCTGGGAGATCTTTGCTTGTCAGGAACAAGATTCAGTGTTCGCTGCTTGGGTCGCTGTGGCTTGGTGGGGGTTCCGCTGCTGATAATTTCTAGTTCGTCTTTCCGTTTGCCTTTACTCAGCCACGACTGGAGTGGCCCACTTGGCCCTGCGTTATTCTTGCGATAGTTCGAACGCTGTTCGCCCCACTCTTTGTTTCCAGACTTATCGCGTGGGTTGGTTCCTGCTCCTGTACTTTTCTCCGCTTCAAGTTCTTTTTTCTTCTCATCCAGCTCGAAGTATTCATCCAAACCCCAAACTGTGCGCTTTTTGTTCTCGATCGCCTTGATATCATATTTCTCTTCAGCATGATTCATAAACCTCTTTAAATCGATTCCCGATTTCTTCTTCGGTTGACGTTGTTTCTGCTCAGCACCGAAGAATCTGCTGATCCTCTCTTGGTTTTTCTTGGGCGTTGTGTCTATCGGTCTGGTCTTCTTCTTTAGCGTTGAATCGCTTCGCTTCCTCTTACGTGACTCGTGTTTGTCATACTTGAACTTCTGCTCCGGCCGCGTTTTGTCGTCCTCAGGTCGGCTCTTTCTAGAAAACTTTTCATCATCTCGACTCTTCTTCAAGACGACCTTGTCATGAGACCGACTACTTGAATAGTGCTCCGTGTTTTCTCTTGGCGTCAATGGCTTCCGCTTCTTTTTCTTCCGTTCTGGTGTCGAAATTTTCTCGATCGAACTGCGTTGACAGCTGGTAGTCTCGCCTTCGTCAGTTGAAGTTAACTTGGTAAAGTAATTACTCATGACCTTCTTGCTACTAGCATTCGCCTTTTCTTCCTTTTCCTTTGCAAGTTGCCTTTTTGTAGACCTCATCGCATCCTCAAGACCCTAAAACACAAAAAAGTACAATTGTCACACAGCCATCCAGCAATATTAGTTATCCACATCACGGTACTACCTTCTTTAGATCAGCATTCAAGCGATCAGCTCGAGTCTCGCCTTCGACTTCACCATCGACCAATCTATACGTCCGCAACTTCCTCCACTTTGCATCTAAACACGAGACCCGTCTTAGTCCAATATTGCCTTCACCAAGTTGCAAATTCTCGGGAAATGGATGACGCACCATTGGACGAGATTTCGACGTCGTTGCGGTCTCGATTCCGCTTCAACATGATGGTCAGCGGGAGCCTATGCAGCAAAACGACACCCCAAGGTCAGAAATTGCGCTAATAGGTTCGTTCTACAGCAATCTTCTCCTTATATCGAATTCGTACATCTCCTCAGTATCCACGCGTATAGGGAACTCGTCATCTTGGCGGTCTATACGGAGAACTTTGGACACACGATGGCCGCGCGGGTCCCCCGCAACGAACGCCTGTAGCATCAGACAGACACGAATTGTAAGACTTCTAACATGAATTATAGCACACGAATTGGAGGCAAACCGCGCACCATAGAGTAGTATTCGACCGTGTCACCAGGGAATAGCGTCTCCGCTTGGAGCTCCGATGCCGAGAGCCCCACCATCGTCACACGCTTGGCACCACCGTCTCGGCTAAATAATTGGCGCGCCAAATTCGTACAAAACCTTTCACATAGCATAGTTAAATTCTTGTCCTTAAAACAAAAGCAAAATAAAAGCAAAATTGCTCTAATCTTTATTTGCTTTCTTCTGTGTGTGTTTTTAACAGATGTGTAGGATAAACTTTCCTAAAAAAACTTAAAGCTTAAGCTTTTTGTAAAAAAAATGAAGCATGTGTACGTGTAGTACCGGTACACGGTGTACCGGTACTTCAGTATCACTTTACTTTAGTAAAGCAAAACATTTAACTTATTTTAAGAAATCGAACTGTATTGCATCTTTTTAATTGAAGATCTTCAAGCAGTTTTAGTCAACATGGGTCGAGATGATGTGCTGGTCCTCTTCGCTTTTGATAATGTACTAGTAGACGTGGACTCGAACGTCGGCACCGCTCAAGCACTCGACGGTGAACGGGCCAACACAATCTGGACCAAACATGCTGCAGACGCGAAGCTCGACCGTGCCAAAGTGATGGACGAATTCTTCGTCCAACTCGCCAAAGAGCGCCCCCAACTGACACACGAGGACATTCGTAACGCAGCGCAACGTCTTCCGTTCAAACAGCACATGCTGGACGCCATTCGACTCGCAGTGGATGACTTCGGAGCCACATGCAAGATCGTGAGTGACTCCACGGTCTTCGGCGTTCAGAGCTTTCTCGAACGTCACGATCTGGTCGGTCGAGTGAGTGAGGTGGTGGCCAACCCGACGCACTTTGAAGACGGAGGCAAAGTGTTGAGAGTGAGGCCTAACCAGGGTGACCATGTCGCTCCACATGGCTGTCAAGACTGCGCCACCAACTTGTGCAAAGGTGTTGTGCTGGATCGGATCCTGCAGCAACATCGGTACTCAAGAGTGCTGTATGTTGGTGGAGGGGTCGAAGATTTTTGTTCGTCGACGAGATTGGCAATGTGCGTGAAAAGACAAAGAAGAGCTCGCTAAAAAGTATACTGATCATTTCTTTGCATTGTTCTTTTTAGGGACGACGTCGTGTTTGCTCGCGTGAGTGGGAAGAACGAGTTATTGACACTGCTGAACGAGAATCCTGACCAGATTCAGGCGCATATTCGCCAGTGGAGGACGGGAGAGGACATCCTCGCCTACTTCCGAAGCTTTTTCTATCGTCAATACCCTGAATGTCGTCAACCAAACGCTAGCGACACGTTGATCTACGCTGAGCAGGACGGAAACTTTTCGGTTCCCACCCCAATGCCTCGAGAAACCGGAGAACTGCTGGTGGTTTTCGATTTTGACGACTCGTTAGTGAACGAGGACTCGGATGTGTTCGTGTTCGGGTCGCTCCACCCAGAGTTGTGTCAAACAGTGTATGAACGACACGCTAAGAAGCCGATATGGCCGAGCGTGTTCGATGATATGCTCCAGGTTTTGTCGAGCGAGAAGCCTCACGTGACGCCTGAGTTGATTCGTGACGCGGTGGCCCAGATTCCGATCCAAGCTCGTATGATTGACGCTATCCGTATGGCAGTGGAATTGTTCGGTGCGGAGGTCAAAGTCATCAGCGACGGCAACACATTCTACATCGAGAGTATGTTGCAACATCGAGAGTTGAGTGAACACGTCAAGGAAGTGTTTGCCAACCCTGTCGAGCATGAAACCTTAGACGATGGACGCACCAGACTTCGTATCCGTCCGTACCACGCCGATCATCTCGATCCACATGGATGCACGTGGTGTCCTACAAACATGTGCAAAGGCAGCATTTTGGATTCGATTCGCAACGGGAAATCCTACTCCCGCGTGATTTATATTGGCGACGGCACTGGAGACTTCTGCCCGGCATCTCGCCTAACAGAGTGAGTTATTGACGGCAAAACAGCACTTGTAAAACGTGTTTCTGACATTATTATTACTGCAAATGCAGGAATGATGTGGTGCTTGCGCGGTCACACCTCGTTAATGGGAATCCGTACGGTTTACAGAGAAGAATCAACGAAAACCCTGGTGTCGTACACGCTCCCGTCGTGTCTTGGAGCACAGGATACGACATCTACCGTCGATTCGCTCAGTTCTGTCCGTCTCCGTACGTCATTCCTCGTGTAACCCCGCGAATCTCCGGCAGCGTTTTGGTCGTGTTTGATTATGACTGGTCGTTGGTCAACGAGAACTCGGACACTTTCATCTTCCAGCAATTATATCCCCAACTTCTTGATACATTGCGGGAACGACGCAAGACGCAGCCATCGTGGACGAAGATCATGGACGATATGCTTGGCGTGCTAGCAGAAGACAAAGCGAACATTACTTCGGACACGATACGAGCCACAGTGGCCCGTGTTCCTATTCAAACGCACATGCTGGATGCTCTTCGTCTCGCTGCTGAGATACACAGCGCCGACGTCAAGATTGTCAGTGACGCGAACTCTGTGTACATCGAGAGTATGCTGGAACATCATGGCTTGACACAGGATGTAAGCGAGGTCATCACAAACCCCGCTTCATTCGAGCTAGAGGAGAATGGGTGCAGTCGTCTTCGTGTCCGTCCGTACCATGGAGTAGCGTATGAACCTCATGGCTGTAAATGGTGCCCCACGAACATGTGCAAGGGTCGAATTGTTGACATCCTGCGTAATACACATTCATACACGTCTGTGCTGTACGTTGGCGATGGCTCGGGCGATTTCTGCGCAGCGACGCACCTGACAAAGTACGTTAAGTATTTGGTGCTGGAAATGAGGAATACCTAACTTTTTATCGGTTGCAAAAATTGCAGGAATGATGTCGTATTTGCACGCGCGGATGAAGCAAACGGCAGAGCCTATTGTGTTGCAGAAGCGAATTGATAGCAATGCTGAAATGGTGAAGGCGGCTGTGGTTCCCTGGAGCACGGGCGACGATATCTATCGTCACTTTGCGCAGTTTTTTCACGCGCCACCTCAGTGAAGCTTTTTCTCAGTCTAGTCGTGTTGCTTGAAGCAAGGCGCTTGAATGAACATGCGTCATAACCCGTGGTCTTATCAAACTGAATCAACTCTTGCAGCCGTACTTTTGAAAAATAACAAAACGTTTAAGACCGCGTTTTGGCTTGATGTCTTCGATGCGAACTTTAAACTACAGTAAACACTGTTGAGAATCAGCGGTGCTGGCTCGTGTCATCGACGTCTATTATAGTGTTCAACCACTTCAACATGGAAGCTCATTTGAGTTCAAATGTGACAGTACGGTCAGTGTGCATACTGTTCAATTCGATTTGATGCACTCACTTTGAGTGTGAGTCGTCACATCATCATGGATCGCAAAGATCGCGATGAAGTGCATCGAGTGCATATTCCGAAAAGATTCACGTCCAACATTGCAAACCGAGAGAAGAGGTCTGTTCCTCATTTCGCGACTTCTTCCTTCAGTATCCGAGAGGCTTCATAAGGTATTCCCTATGTCTGAAAGTTCGGGAAAAGTGCTGGTGGTCTTCGACTTCGACGAGTCGCTGGTAAACAAAGAATCGGACAGATTTCCATTCCAATGCTTCCACCCAGAGTTGCTCGAGACACTTGATGAACGCCACGCGTTGAATCCTGTCTGGCCGAGTGTATTCGATGAGATGCACGGAATCCTGGCAAACGAAAAACCGGAGATAACACCTGAGCTGATTTGCGCGCGAGTTGCACAAATCCCAATCCAAGAACGCATGGTCGACGCCGTTCGCATGGCTGCGGAGAAGTTCGTCAGCGATGGCAACAGCCTCTTCATCGCAAAAGCACTGATGTACCATGGACTGACGCCGTATATCAACGAGGTCTTGACGAACCACGCAGAGGTCGAGACAATGGACAATGGACGCACCAGGATTTGTCTCCGTCCGCATCATGACACCCCGATGAGTTGTCCGTGGTGCCCCTCGAACTTGTGCAAAGGCAGCGTTCTGGATTCGATCCGTAGAACAAAGCAATACTCCCGCGTGCTTTACGTCGGTGATGGCATTGGAGATTTCTGTCCTGCATCTCGTTTGACAAAGTAAGGTGCCAGGATGGGGTTGGTTAAGCTGCGGTACTGTGCTAACTGTTTATGATCTCGCTTTCAATTTGCTTAGGAACGATGTCGTGTTTGCACGCGCGGATGAAGCCACTGGAAGGTCGTACGGACTGCAAACGCGAATTGACAACAACTCTTCGCTAATCAAGGCATCAGTGGTGCCCTGGAGCACGGGGGACGACATCTATTGCAACTTTGCGCAGGTTTTTCAGAACCAGATTTCATCATGCTAAGCGTAGCGTTGTGTGT